ATCGATTAATCGAAAATAATTATTATAAATAATCGATGATTGGTTATTTATTTAAATAACCGTCCAACCCTAGTTATAACCCTTATGTTTTTAGCAATCATTTTTAGCAATCATTTTTTAGCAATTTTAGCAATCATTTTTAGCAATTATTTAAATAGGAAGTTTATTTGAGTAATTGGAATTTTTATTTTAATTTATAGAAATCTACAAAAAATCTACTAAAACTAGCCAAAAAAGCTTAAATCTACAAAAAAAGTAGAAATCTACTAAATGTGGCAACATTGGATCAAAGTCAGAGTGATCGGATCAAGCAAAACAAGGTTTTTTCTCATTACAATTAGATCCATTACGTCATTACTACAATTAGGCTGTCCAGAACACGTGACCCTGGCCCTTTAAAAAGGGAGACATAAAGACGTACAAAAATATAGATTAGGAGAGTTTTAAATAAAAGTCAACGTAATAAAATTGCTATAGTTTACCCGACACACTCGGATATAATTAAATATTGTCTCTGTGAGATCTCTTTTCTGATGACATTGTATCTATCCATTTACGCAGTTTTCTGTTTTTGAAACTTCGTTTATGTTTTTTGTACGAAACAAAAACAAATTACAATTTTCTTCTAATTGCATAGTACTTACAGTTGGTTACAGAACACATGACTATTCTAAAGTAATCTTAGACACTTTTAGTTTCGTCATAGTATCTCATCTTTATTCTATCTCAATAATTGGAGAGGTTCGTATGTCCCGTCCTTTGTGACGTCACGCTTTGTTTATGCGCGATTCACAAAATAGCGTAGTTTTTAGCAGTCACATTGTTTGTTTTACGGATCTGTTGACCTCTCTTTTAGCTACAGGAATTTGTGGAAACCTATGGGGTTTAATCAGCATAGTTCACAGCGCAGTGGCGTACCAAAAAATAAGATTAACATGTATGAAAATAATAAATATATCAAAATTCAATTTATAGTGAAAGTGTCTCCCTTAAAAATAAAATTGACGCATCTTTCCGATTTTTCATATTATTTACTAGAAGGAAGATATTAGGGATGGGAAATTTTTAAATTGATACCTTGTATACACTGAATAATTGTGTTGTTTTTAGCTTTGGAACTATGCATTACTATTATTTTACACTGACCAAAAATATTTTACGAAATTTTTTATTTTTCTCAAAAATATTTTTGTATTAGAAAATCCAGATAAGCATCTGTCTCTAACCCCTATATACGCCCTTGATTGACACATTTTAAGTTTATTGCAAAATTACACAATTTTAGGTTGTGAATTTATATTAATTAATGAACACCGTTGCCAATATTTCAAAAATTATTTAATAACCAAGAAATTTTATTCTAAAAAGGTAGATAAATGATTAAATACTAGACATAAATATACCTTTTTACAGTAAATGAAAATACATATCTGGAATATCGTCAGTATTGTACATAAATGATTCTAAATAATAATTTTTATTGAAAAAACTCACATGCATGTTGAATACCTACATGAAATGGTAATTATAAATTTCTACGAAAGATAAAAATTCTCGAGGGTAGGTAGCAACGTGCATAATAACAATGTTTAATAAGAAAAATGTAATCGCGAATCCAATTTTATAATATTCGCTGTTAACACCAAGATAATATCTCCTTTTAATATTATTTATGGAGGTTCCCGATTTTTTTTATCTTTCGTATATTTTAAGTAAAACATTTTTAAAAATAGAAAATTTATATACTTGTTGCATTTAAATCTCAACAAATAAATCAAATAATTATAATAAATTAGAGTGTTTCAAAATAATAGTTATATATGATAGATGTTCATGCCTTGAGGGCGACGTCTCACAAACCCGAGGGTATACACTTCTGTTTATGCCTGGGGTGCATAAAAAACTTTTATGTCATACTAGTACGTTATTGCAATCACAATACAAATTAGTATTTTAAAAAAATCCGGTTTGATTTTAATAACATTGTCATTTTACCATAGGAGACACTACTGTTGCTAGGTAAATGATGGCAAACGAATGTCATTAAATCACAATCACATCTCGGGTTGTTTGGCAAAAGAAAACTAATTTACCTAACCTGTGCGGCCCGGAGCCATCGCGGATTGTTTCGTAAAAAAGTATACATAAAATAAGAAAAATTAAAAAAACTTAATTTACCTAACCTATTCGCGATTCAAATTAATTTTCGCGCGCCTGTCATTTGTCACTTATGAGTAAGATGTTTGTTTATTTACACATGTGTTTGTTTTGGGCGGATTTTGTATTTGTGATTTTTTAACTGTTTTTAGATATTCTCATTGTAATAGTGTTTTTGAGTTTCGTTTAGTGTTAATTTAAGTTTATTTTTCGTGCTTTCGTCATAAATATAATATTTATCATGTGTATGACTTAATTTGTTGGAAATATTCACCTATTGGTTTCTACAAGAACATCCAAAAATATGTATTTACTAAACCCAGGACATGTTTTATTATGTGGTTTAAAGGATATTTCAGGTACCAAACGTTTATTATTGATAAACTTATTTAAAAATTTTACTATCTTTATTCTTATGTTATGAAGTGAATTGTGTAGTACTTTGTATACATGTAAATGGTAATAAAACCGTCACAAATCAGCATACAGTTTGATTCTAAACAAAGTTTTGCAAAATTTCAATATTGTGAATTTGTAGATATCCATTTATCGTAAGAATCAAAATTGTACGACTTGCACTTGGAAAATAATGAATACTTCAGTTTTGATTTTGACATTAACACCGTATAGACTACAATTTTTTTGGGGGCTTTTTCGCAGATTTTATTTTTAATATAAACACTATTACATACTATAAGAAATAAACAAATTTAAAGCTAAAAAGTAAGAAATAACTCGAATTGTAATTGATACAAATTAAAATGTAAACAATGAACACGAACGCCAATGTTGCCAAATGATGAACTGATTTTAAAACAAAATTAATAAATGAACTGAAATTTAAAAAAAAAAAATCAATATACTAAATCGGTTTTATAAAAAATCCTTAAATAAATATAGAGTATGATTAAATATTACTAGACACAAATTTTGATTCTTAAATAAAAGGTCTTATCCACTTCTTTAAAAGCTAAAATCCGACAACGTAGCGAAATTTTGCTACTTCTGGCAACACTGAACGATATCCTACTTATAGGGACCTTCTACAAATTTCCTCCAGAGGGCGTATTACTTAGTTTGAATCGCGAATACGGCCTAGAGACATCGGAGTAACTCTTGTTTATATGTCCATTGCATCTCCAACGTAAAACTCTACCGATTTTGCACATGGCGTCATTACAAAATCACATATATCCACTAAACATTTGATTCTATTATTTTACGGTATTACACTTAAACGCTGCACTTGCAATATAATATTATTATTTCGCCATGTAATTATATCATCTAAATTAATACAATCCATTATGAGAAGAAAGGCAAAAACTAAACATAAATATATTACAAATTTACTGTCACTTTACAGTATATCATGTCATTATAAAAGCATTTAAAAGCATTTATTAATCAAAGGAAATTATTAAATTTTTATTCAGAAAGGATAACACACGTTCATCCCTGTATAAATCCATAGAAACAGAAAAAACATCAAGAATCACTCGACTTCCTAATGATGTATATTTATGTGAGAACAACAAACATCTATTCTGTGCAATTCAAACAGTACAATCATAAAAGTCAAAGTTAAATGAGTATTTCGTTTCAATGAAATCGCTTGATTTTCTCTTAGAAAATACCGTCCGGTATTTTAAAAGACATTATTTTTGTATAGAATTACTGAAATAATCGCATACTTTTTTCAGTATTTAGAATGGATAACGCACATTCTTCCCTGTATAAATACAGAAAAACAAATATTAAGAATGGTTCGACATCTTAATGATTTGTATTTATGCAAGAATGATTAATGCATATTCTGCTTAATTCAAACAGTAGGATCAAAAAAACAAGGTTAAATGAGTATTTCGTCTGAATGAAATTGCTCGATTTCTTCTTATAAAATACCGTCTGGTATTTTAGAACATATTATTTTTATAAAGAATTACTGAAAAAGTATTCAGAAGGGACAGAGCACATTCTTCCCTGTATAAATCCAGAAAAACTGTAAAATCATCAAGAATCGCTCGACGTCCTAATGATCTATATTTATGCAAGAACAGCGAACGTCTATTCTGTTAATTTAAACCTACTGTTTATGGCCCTACTGGCCATAAAGGCAAGTTTAAATGAGTATTTCGTCTTAATTAAATCGCTCGATTTCCTTTTATAAAATGAAAAGCCAGGAATGATAATCCTCTTCTTGCCTCACCTCCCTCCGGACGTCCATGGTTATTACTATAATTATTTCGATCTAAAACTTACCTACTTTTTTTAGTTCACTTATGTATAAATATTATATATCTCTATTTAGACTGGCAATACGGTAACTGGTAATTCACGTGATAAGTATTCTAAATTGCTGATTTTAACGTTTAATTTCATTCATTATTTGTTACTGTACTTTGTTACCGTTCTTTCGTTTTTATGATACAGTTTAACAGCAGATGTTAATTTAATTTTTTTTTTCGGGGTTATATAGGTGTTTTTCCTAAAACAACTTAAATTTGGCCAAACTATATTATGGCTAAATCTAATATAGATAATATTGTTAAAAGTATAAAGCTGCGCTGGTGCGATCTATTTGTGATATATTCTTATAACTAAATTTTAAATTCTCATTCCAACTTTCTCTTTAGCAGCATCGTTTTGAATATAAAAATAAATGTGAACATGTACCTATACTTCTAAACATACATAGCGTGGGATCTTTAAACATTTCTTACCTATTCATAAACAAATTCTTTTCTGCAACAGTAAAAATATCATAATAGTACCTATTTAACGAACAATTAACAATACGGTTCTGTCTGAATGAAATAATTAACAATTTGCTTTTGTTTCAGGAAAAATAAACACAAGGAAGTTCGGGACGCTAAACTATTGAAGACTCTAATTAAGCTAATGGTCAATTAACAGGAAGTGGCAGGAAGATAGTCGCGGTTATTGTAAATAATTGTGCATTTTAAATATTACCAGGAAAAGGTTGTGAAACCAAAATCTGTGACTAAGTTAATTAATACAAGTAATGGTAGGTTGATTGGGTAATGTAGTACTTATAATAAAATGAAAGTAAATACTCGGAAATGATTTATGTGATCCTAACGGTTCTTCTTTGCTTCACTGGTTTATGTTATTCATTTTAGCTAATTTACATGAAAAGTTTATCAAGGGTCAATCTCCTGTATGCTCCGAACTTAAGAATGTTAAAATGTAATTTTGGAAACCAAAATTAATACTAATAATGTGTTTCTAACCTTCCTATACATTGATAAACTCCTTTGTTCTGTTTAATCAATCTCTCACATAAAAGGTGCACCTGAAAAGGTATGTTTAAAGTTGTGCTATGTGAATTTCTATATCCCTTAGTAAAGACAGCCAGTCAAAGTATTACACCAATTCATATTGTCAATCGGAACAGATTCTTTGCCCAAAATTCAGTTGCCTGACAACTTGGTTGCCCGACACCGTTTACTCTTTCTTTTGTTATTTTTAATGCTATCCAGACCAGACTGTTTCTGGAATGTTCTAAATCCTTGATAGTAGCAAAGGGAAAGGTTACTACCACTCACGATATATTTGTCGCTTAGAGATATACTGTCGGGCAAATGAGTGGTCGAGCAAACTATGTCGGGTAACAGAGTTGTCGAGCAACTGAATGTCGAGCAAATGTACCAGATTCCTTATCAATATTTATGGTAAATAATATCTCATTGAGTGCAATACTTTAATGGACTATATACCGGTTGTCCCATAGGTTTCTGGCCAGCAAACATCTAAGTTATTTGACGACATAAGATTGTTTAAAATATGATGTATAATGGATGACAAAGTCTTTTAAACGGCGAATTCAAAGCATTCTCTTGTTAAACTATCCACTAGTAACCACAATTAATATTCATTTTTCTAATTGAATTTCCATGTTTTGAGTTAAAATACCTGACTTAGTGAACTTCTACATCACTAGAAAAATACCCGGAAACTTTGTTAAAACAGAAGGAAACTTTGACTTAGACCTAGATCATTCCCTGGTTATAATGATACTAGGCGAACTAAGTGCACTACTAAAAACAAAAAAACAAGAGTACCAGCTGGAAAAATTTATCGTTGAAATACAGTAAGTGTCATAAAATAATACACCAAAAATTACAAGAAAAAACGTAGGCAAATTCCTTAGAGAAATAAAAGAAGTAATAAATAAGAAGAGAAATGCAAGAAAAAGTAGTTATCACCAGACTAACACAAAAACTAAATAGATAAATAATCACTATTAAATTTATTAATTAATAATAATACTCTCCCTAATTCACCCCCTTATAAGTGAATTTCCACCCCAGAAGCCAATTGAGTGACTTGTGTAGGGGAAGGGACGGTTATTATTATAATTTTCCGTGGCACTTAAAGATGATTGATGGCGCCATTTGACTTACAGGGAAGGAAAACCCGGAAAACTTCAACCACTATCATCGATATCATTAGACACATGTCTTAGAAAATTGACGAAACACAAAAATAATTATTACTCTCTGTGGAAAGCGACTAGGAAACTTAAACGTCCAATAGTCCACATGCCATCAATAAAAGAAAAAACGGAAGATGGGCAAGATCAAATAAACAAAAAGCTGACATCTTTGCAGATCATCTAGGAAAATGTTTTCAATCGATTGAAGAACGAGCACTCAATTTATAAAAAGAAGAGAACAGGAACATAGTAAAAATTCCTATGGTAACGTATAAAGAGGCAGCTAAGGAAATAAAAAATGGCAATTCTAAGAAACCACCTGAGTATAATCTGATTACAGGTAAAATACTAAAACAATTGCCAAGAAAAATTGTAGTTAAACTCATTAATATAATAAATGCTGCATTTTGACTAGAGCACATGCATCTGGAAAGTCGCTGAAGTTATATTGACATTCATACCTGGAAAACCACCAAATAAAGTCCTATAGACCTGTATTCCTGTTACCAGTGCTGCCTAAACTTTTCGAAAAACTTTTACTTTTACTGGGGCCAGTTCTTTACCTGTTGTTTACCTCCGACATATCACAAACGCAAAATGTGAAAGTAGCTACATTTGCTGAGGACACAGCCACACTTGCCATCGGTAAAACTATAGAAGAATTGGCTAGAAAACTTCAACAGGCAACTAATAAAATCTACGAGGTTAACTTCACTAATAAAAGATCAATAGAATACTTACCAGTGATAATAATTAATACTAGAATACCATATAATTCGGCAAACTACCTAGGCATGAACTTAGATATAAAATTAAAGTGGATAGAACACATAAAGAAAAAACGGGAAGAGTTGGGTATTAAAATATAGAAAAAATTATACTGGTTGATGAATAGAAGTTTTTAATATATAAACAAGTACTGAAGCCAGTATGGACTTACGGCATACACCACTGGGGATGTCCCAGTAAAAATAAATATAATACAACCTTTCCAGAACAAAATATTAAGGGAAATAGTAAATGTCCCTTGGTATGTAAGGTTCTCGGATCTTTACAGAGGAAACCCATCGCAAAAAAAAAGACTGCATGACCACGTCAATATTGAAGTTCTCCAGTTCCTGGACAACCAATATCTAATCAGAAGCTTCATAAGTACCAAACCATTTGAATTAGTGATATGAAATTGTGTAAGAGCAGAGCAAAGTGCGCTTGTGAAGTGCATATAGTTCATCAGAACAGAAAGGAGAAGATACCATTGGTTTTAAGGCTAAGTTTACTTAAGTTTATAATACAGACAAATTGGTGATTGGTTGAAATATAGCTAGATGCAATGTAAACAAACAAAAAATATGTTTGTCCACGACCACTTAATAATAAATCAATATTCTACCTCCTAACTAAAAGCATATAGTACCCATATATCACGGAGTGAATTATGATAATTCACGCTTTTGTAATTCTGGCACATTCCGGTAGATAACTAAAGATAGGCGATACTTTTCATAACAATATTTTCTAGATCGAAAAATCGAAAAATTGAAAAGTGGAAAAAACAACAGTTAGTTACCTATGTTTAATAAAAACTATCCATTCTACACTTAACTTTTATTTAATAAAGAAACCATAATGGTCGTGGATAAAGTATAGTATTAGACTCGCAATTTATGGCCATTATTCACTCGGATGACTTGCGTGAATAATGGCTACCATAAATTGCTCGTTTAATAATATACTATAATGTTATTATCATCATCAAATTAACATTTTTTCTTCAAACTTTTTATGATAAAAAAATTGGCCACGAATGTTTCCAAAATAATTTTCCAAATAAGTTCTAAGTTAAATCAGTTTCATTTTTAGCAATTTTGATGGTCTAATAAACATATTAAAAAAATAAAAATATAGGAGTGCATGTGAAAAATAAATGTTAGGGGTGGTTTCTATTGGATAGTTTCATAAGAGGTTGATTTGAGTTCAACCTGTAAAATACTTTTTTTACACCCACATGGATATTAGCTTATCTATGCACAGACTACAAAACAAAAAAGTATACTATTGCGTTCAACTGAACAAATAAATTTCATATCCATTCTAGGTAATGAAAACACTATAAAAAAATTAAATATACCAATCACAGTTCATATTTTATTATTTTTAAAATTTTAAATAAGTGACAATTCTGTCGAACTAATTGTCATTATCTTTTTTAGTTTATTACTGAGAATAAAACTTCATTAAAATGAGTTATTTTTGTGTAGAAATGATAAATATTAGCATTTTAATTCTTTTTTAATCCATATTTTGGGCAAAAAATTTAAATTTAATCTATTAAAACTAAATTCGTAAAAGTGGCGATTGAGCTGAGGCAGGGGCGTCGATAAATTTTATTCTTGGAGGTAAAATCTTTTTGTTTTAGGTAATGAAAAAAAAATCATGCTGTAATATAGTAAGTTACGCCATTATTCCCCATATCGACGTCTTTAAGCTGAGGACACGGACAAAGAATCTTCTTTCTACATGAAAAGCCCGAGTTCGAGTCTGGGCTGGGGAATAATTAAATTAAATCTATTTTTTTTGTTTATTTTATAAATTAGTAAAATTCATAAATTATTTTAAAATTAGTTATTTTGTCTTAATAACCTAAAATAGGATTTTAAATTGTAGATTTTCGTTATAAATTTAAAATAAACATGAAAAAAAATTATTTAATTAATCCCCAGCCGAGATTCGATTCCGCGTTCTGTCCTCGCATCCACGGCTACTTTTAGGATTTTAGTTTTAATCTTAGATAAAAGAGACCAGAGCTATAACATACACCGGTGTTTAACCTACGAAAATGTCGCCAATTTCTAAAGAAAGGTTAACGGAGTGGGGGAACTGGGTGGAGATCCGAACTCTGTAACAGGGACGGACTTTGTTTGTTAGCATCATAATGAACTATTAGATTTACTTAAAAGATTTAATCCAGCAAGAAATGGTACTCATTATCTACGAGTATTATAAAAAAAGCATGTGAGCAGGCGAATACTGCAAATCAAACCTTGTGAGTTGAACATTATATTTTTTCTACGGCTATTACATAATATTAAAAATTAAGTTAAAATGAGAAAATGCTGTTTTGTATTGTAACCTCAAAAAAAGGTATATTAAAGCTTCTTTCTTTAGGAATATTAATTAATATAGAGGATGAGTTACATAAAACTCTAGATATGCATATGTCTGATACCAGATAACAATTTAAAATTTAAACCTTTTAAAAGTCATTTGGTCGCTAGGGGTGGATGATTATCGAAATAAATTATCGATCATTGATAATAATCGATTATTTTCGGTCAATCAATTATTTTCAATCTATTTTTTTGTATTTCCTTTATAATCGACTACTTGATTATCTTTGAAAAATCAAAAATAATCGATTAATTAAAAAGCCAATTAACCGATAAATCAGTGTTTACAAAAAATAATGAACGAATTATCGTTTATTTTAAATAGTCGAATTATTTTCAAATAATCTATTTTTTTTTCGTATTTCCTATAAAATTTTTGAAAAATCGAAAATAATCGATTAATTTAAATTATTTATCGGTTAATCGACTTTTAAAAGTCGATTAACCGATAAATCAATTTTTCAAAAAAAAAAAAAAAAAAAACGAATTATCGAGTGTTTTAAATAATCTATTTTGTTCGTATTTCCTTTAAAATCGATTAATGGATCATCTTTGAAATATCGAAAATAATCGTTTATTCGAAAATAATCGTTTATTCGAAAATAATCGTTTATTCGAAAATAATCGATTAAGCGAAAATAACCAATTAATTAAGAAGCCAATCCTACGATAAATCGATTTTCCAAAAAATAACCGAATTATCGATTATTTTCAAATTATCTTTTTTTTCATATTTACTTTAAAATTGATTATTTGATTATCTTTGAAAAATCGAAAATAATCGATAAACTGAACATAATCGATTAATAAAAAGCTGATTGATCAATAAATCGATAAATAAATCTAAAAAGTAACCGAAATATCGATTATATAGTCTGTTGGTAGATAAGCTAATATCCATGTAGGTGTACAAAAACTACTATGTTCATACCATATGAACCATATAAGTATATTGTTTTTTAATATATCTTGTCAATTTAGGTATTAGCCGGCCAAAAACCTATGGAACATCTGGTATATTGTCAATGTATCAATTAATGCAATATATCAATGGGTTCATTAATTACTTTCTGCTTTAAAACTTCTACTCTTATATCGAATTGTTAAAATTACTCTTGGTGTTAAAGATATTATTATTTCTAATACTCATAAAATGCACAAATTCAAATTTAAGTCTCCCTAATACCCCCTAGAGGGTGATTTAATACTTTGTTGACGTTAAAAACTTTTTCAATAAAAAAAATACACGGTCGCAATTTAATATCTATATATCTCGTGCGATGCCTGTTGTTGACCATTACAATTTAAAATTTGTTTAGAAAGGTGGTTCTTCTAATTGTGGCACAACTTAAAAGTGATGTGATGTGAAATAGTTGGTGTGCGATACCAATGATCAAAAAACAGATTGTGAACGAAAAATGGTATCTTATGTGACATTTTCGGTATTATGCATTTGGATTACTGGATTTGTTACTGTTGGTGAGTATTGAATCTTACTAATCACTGCGCCAGTTATAGTTGGAGATATATAATATTAAAAATATTTTTTTTTATCATTCTAATAAAAGTTTCAGAATTCTGCAGATTAGCACAATTTAATCCAGAACAATGTGTTTGTATTGTTAAAACTTATTTTGAAAATGGATCTTCGGCGAAGTGTAAATTTTTAAAATTCAATAATATAAAGTAGTCACAGGCAAACATGTTTTAAACATGTTATGCTAAACATTGTAAGAAAAAAGGAGATATTCAAATTTTTTGGAAAGTCTTCAGATGCGTGCTCTTATGCACAAACATTTATAAGAGTATGCATGCTAATGTATAAGAGTACGCACTATATCTTTCTCTAAAATATGATTGCACGTCATGTTATATTTGATATAATAAAATGAAAAGATTTCATATAGAAAACGTAAGTTTATTGAAAGTAATACAAAATTAAAAAATATTCCTTAAAGGAAAATGAAAAACGTAGTATCTGCTTAAAGTCGTCACTCTTAAAACAAACAAAGTCCCCCATTACATATGTGGTGCAAGATTCATGCCACCAAGAACACATAATCCATTCATCATCTTCAATTCTCCACATCCTGGGCAACGTTCATCCTTTTCGACACCTTTATTAATTTTCTTTTTTTTAACTTTTTTGTTTTCTGAGCTTTTGAGCCAGTAACAACTAGTTTTCTCTTTGTTGTTTCATTTTTTTTTCTTCTTTTCCTTTCTTAATACCGGCAAGTTCTTCAAGTTCATCCTTGAATGGAGTACTAGAGAGTATTTCGGATTTTTGTGATCTTGATTTAGAGCGATTTGGTTTTTCTTTTATTTGCGGCAAAGGTAACATTTCTGAAGCTGGAATAGACCGATTTAAAGCCTCTTCCTCAAAAGTAGACGAATTCTTTGATATAAGTACCCCGTCTTCACAGACTATATCAAGGCTGGCAATATCCAGCGGTGGAGGTGTTGCATGTATCGGAATACTCGTGGAAGGTTCGGGATCATCTATTTCCACCACGACTTCATCATTGAGCTGGCCATTCTCTGTATAATTGGGTGCGTCTGTCGTATTAATGGGTGCGTCTGGCGTAGTGATGAGTGCGTCTGTCACACAGGAGAGCAAAATCATCATCGTTAAACTGATCCGAATTATAGGGATATATTCCGGAAGCTCTGAATAAGTTTTGTGATTTTCCAATATTGGCGACGCTGGTGTAAGCTTGGTTAAATAGTCCGGCAACTTGCATATGCGTTATTACCTTTCCAGGGTTACTTACCATCCACTTATCACACTCTCTACTGTAAGCACACTTTAATGGGCCAAAGAAACCAACATCCAGCGGTTTCATCCTGTGGCTTGCATGAGGTGGTATGGAGAGTAAATCAATATGGTTATCCCTGCAGAAGTTTATTGCATCTAGATCACGGTGAGAGGAATGGTTGTCGAGGATCAACAGTACTTGATTTTCGGCACTAAGTTTGCTGTAGCTCTTGAAATGCCGCAACCACTGACAAAATAATTCTTTGTTTATAAACCCAGAGTCCGATATTATTTTACAGGTACCAGTATGTTCATTTAAGAAGAGCTCATCTTTCATCCTTTTTCTAAAAAATATCATAGCCGGAGGAATATATGTCTCCGCAACGCTAAAACAACATACCGCTGTAACGAGCTGTCCCCGATCTGCACTAGCTACTTTTCCGACCAGTTTTTTGCCTTTGCTGGATAAAACCTTGGGTAATTTATTAGGTACTGTGGATACCCCTGTTTTGTCCATGTTGTATATTGAATTTGGTAGGTAGTTTCTTTTTTCATAAAGTGTCTTAAGATTTTTAAAAAACCGATCTACCTAGCTTTTATTGAAACCCATTATTCGACCCATTGAACATTTTTCTGGTTGCCGAAGTACTATTTTGTGTCTCTAAAAGTTCTTACGGCCCGCACTGAAGGTTGCCTTGATTTACTTATGCCTGGATAGGGCATAAGAACTTGTCCACCTCATTAAACTGTACAGGGGACTGTTCACCAACAAAGGATGATCAATATATAGTTTCGATGGTTCTAGCTGTTACACAGCTCAGGACATCACTCATCTGTCCTTGCTTCAGTAAGCCGGTGCGGGAATTCAACAAGTTTCTTATTAAACCTTTAGGAATTACAATAAAACTTAAAATTCCGCAGAGCATTACTCATGGAATATTAAAAGGAAACATAATCTGGAACCAAACAGTTATATGCTTCGTGGCCACGTCCTGGACCTAGACAAACGCTAACAACAAGATGGAGGACACCAACGCCTGCATAGGTTTGTCCTTTATGGATAGGAAAGTCACTTACACAGGTAAAACTAGGAGTACCCTGTAATATCTTCAAGTAATTACTAATTATTTAATATTTTCAGTTATTAATTTTATCGGAACGAATTATAATGAGAAATAAAACAAATAAATGTTGTACTATAACTGACTTTATTTCGGTATATTCTACAAGAAGGTAAACTCAATATTAATACAAAAAACGGCTATCGCCAAACATTGATATTAATACAGGGTGATACGCATCGCATATTTATTCCAATATATTAGAGGAACCTAATAAGGTTCATTTATTAAGGAGTATAAAATATTTGTTAGAAACCTACCCTATGCTGAGGGGCATCATCCAACTTAAATTATCGGTAAGGCACATAAAAACTCGGTACACGACACCTGGCTTTTAACCGTCTTCACTTCACCTGTTTTCTGCCTTCCTTCAAATCGGAACCAGAAAGAATTTATCCGTTTCGCAGTGTTGCCAGGGTGTCAACACAATATATCCCCTATAGTATTGTAACTGGGATTCAAGAAATGGCTTTGAGTTACGCTGCGACCAGACACAGGTCTCATGGCGCTAGTATCGTTTTGAATTTTGACACGTCCAACATCGGCACGTTCATTGGTTGAAGAGGAAGTTTTTGACAAGCGAAGTTTGTTAGCTTCGGCAAACTTATAAGTCGCTATTCTCAAATCTTTCTTGGTAATCCCATAAAATCTAAGATCCAGGTCCCTTACTTGTTGGGCTAAATCAGCCTCCATATCTCAAGATTCATCAGTTTTGAATCGTCCTAAGGAGCTGGGGATGGTTCCTGCTTTTAACCGTTTTCTTAGTGTTGCTTCATTTATTTCCATTTCCCTGGCTATACTTCTTTTACTAAAACTATCTGCCATTTTTTGCATAATCTCTTCCATATTGCCTTCGGTGAACACTAGCTTCCGCTCACTTTTTCTTTTGTAACGGCTCATATTTCAAATTTGTTAATCTGAAGAACGTTGATTTCTATGCTATATTCACTAGAGCTTTATTACTTATAATACTGCAAAGTCTAAGAGCACGCACGGCGAATTCTTATGCATTGCTTACTGTGCATATGTTGATAATTTTAGATTTTGCTTAATATCTTTATTATTAACCTACTTCTTGCTAAATTTTAGCCACACAAACAATAACAATATTTAAAAAAAAAACATACAATAACGTTTACTAACCTGTAACGTTCGCAGGTACCTCACAAAATACTAATTATCAAGCACCAACAATTAGATCGCCAACCCATGCAAACACTTCTCGGCCATTTTTAAAACAGCTGTGTCGATAATGTAGATTTCTATTTTTGTATTCAGTGTCGTATGCTATTTGAAACATAACTGACTGCATAGACAATTTAATAGATGGCGATATGTATTAAAAATAAGCGTGCGTATTCTTATACTCATGCGTACTCTTATATAACATTACCCTAACATATCGTAGAATTTGTGATGACTTTAATGTACAAAATGGTCCCTTAAATAAAAACTATTTATAATATAGAACAGAAATTCTAAACTACAGGATGTGTGGAAGGTATCGGTTAATAATATTGAGGCTGTTCGTCAAAGTGTGGCTGATAATTCCCAAATGTCAATGGAACGTCATTTACAATAGTTAGGTATCAGAAAATGACAATATGGCTAGTTCAGCTTGTACAAGAGCTTTTAAAACATTTCTTTTATTTTTTAACAATATTCGGAAAATCTTGTTGAAACACCCATTAATAGTAAGTGTGGCTGTCTTTCGTACTTCTTGTTCTATTTCCTATCATTTTTCTTTGTTTATCCATTTTTTACATATTTAGTTAATAATACCACGTTTATCGTTTATAAACCAAAGTTACAGGAAGTGTTAACAATGATAATATACATAGAAATAACAATGTTTATAGTAATAGGTAATCAGTGACATATGTTCACTAAGGCAACAATAAAGAAATGTATAGTTTACTCTTTTTTGATGAATGTGAATGTTGTCGCACGACAATTTTTATGCTATATTCTTCCAAGATAAGTAAGTAAATTATTTTTTTAGAGAAAATAAAAAATGATGATAATTTGTTGGACACTAAATAGATATAAGCAAAAATAATTTACTTATTTGTCTTAGAAGAAGATAAAAATGGTAATATAAAATAAAACGTTATATTTTGTTGCTATGTACAATTTTTGTCATTTTACTTTTTTTCTCTAATGAAAAAAATTACAACTTTACGCACGGTAGTAGAAAAAATAATATAAACAATTACCATTAAATATCGACCAGCACCCGTGAAATCTATTACTTAAATTTTATATAGTTATTATTTGTTTATTTAAAATAAATGATCTTATTTTTAGGATATTCTAGATACAAGAAAAGATACACCTTGCATTAGGTTCGGTTATATCTTCTAAGGCAAAAATTGAAGTATACAGACCTTTTAAACAATTTGATTCCGGATTCATAACATTATAAATTGGACAATATAAGAAGATATGTGTTAGAGATTCATTTACACTTATGTTACATATTGTACAAACAATATTGGGATCTATTTATTATTTTAAAGGTACAATTTTGTATCTTCTTAAACTTAAAACCGTTTAACCTGCCATGAGTTTTGGAAAACAGTTTCTAATTTGGTTGTCTATTGTATACAGACAAAAAAAACCAGGTCGAATTAAACCATTATTGAATCAAATTAAGTAGAACTAATATCACTTAACGGTATTTCTTCTATTCAAAAGCTAACTTTAGATTAGAATGATAAAATAAAATTTACATGGTTATTATGATGATGATACGGTTTTTCTAAATTCTAGAATTTAGTTTGTGTCTACACATTTTAATTCGGACCAACAATCTACGACTCCTGGGGGAGTTACTTATAATTAAAAATATATAAAATAAAGAATGTATGAAAGTATGGATGATTAAATTTGAATAAGAATATTATACATATATGTAGAAGAAGCGAACTATTGAATTTAACAATAGATGAAATTCAAAATAAGTATTTAACTATTAATGTAACAATCAAAGATTGAGAAACTTGCACCCAAAGAACATTTTTTATCATTATAATTTGGTCTAAATTAAATTATGTATATCGAAAATGTTATACTTTGCGTCCAGAGTACATTACCAACCATAGATTTTCTATTAGATATGTCACTGAAAATGTGTAAAGCACGTTATTTGTAAAACAGAAATGATATTGGGATAACTTCATTTTTCAAATAGACACTACACAATGAAGATCGAGAAAAACTTTAGAATTACAATTTTTTTAACCAATACTGTAATGAAGTCAATTTTCCTCAATCAATTTATTTTCATTTTTCATTTTTAATAAATTTTTAACGCGATTGAACTATCGATCCTCAGTTAATTTTCAGATGCGCGAACGCCACTCGAAGTCTCGATGCGCGGTGGGTCTGAGCGTAAGTGGGATTTCGATTGGGAGAGGGACAGTTGTTTGAACGATACCCAAGATGCTATTAAAATGATCAAGCTGGCTACGGACGATAAGCGATAATATAATATATATTATAGCTCGGCAATGAGCTATAATATTATTACTGCAGTCGACGAGAATATATATTTTTAATTTTTCAATATAGTACGTGATCCAGTGAACTATATAGTGTAGTTGTTAAAATGGCGATAACTCATCAGAAGATGAATTAGATGCTGAAAGC